AATAATAATAATAAGTAAATGTCTTTTTAACATTGTTCTTGTTTAGTTTTTTGTTAGAGAAGTAATCATGAACTTTTTGCATGGGGGGCAGGGTTTTTTTGGGGGAGGGGGCATTATCATTTTGAGATGTGGGTCTCACTATTTGCCCAAGCTGTCCTTGAACTTGTGATTCTCCTGCCTCAGCCTCCTATGTTGTTGGGGTTATAGGCATACATCTCTTGGCCTGGCGTTGAAGGGTGAAGGAGGTTTAAATATGAATGTTTGTCACAGAAAACATAATCTAGCACGAGAACAAAATAATTGCTAAAACCCAGCACTTGAAGATGATCACCATGTTTTGGATTTTTGAGATATTTTTCCACATCATGTCAGGTGTGGCACACATCTATAATTCTAGTGATTCAGGAGGCTGAGACAGGAAGAGCACAAGTTTGAGGCCTGCCTCAACAACTTAGTGAGGCCATATCTAAACCACCTCTGGGTTCTATCTCCAGAACCTAAATAAATAAACAAAATTAAAACAAAAGACATTTTTCTAATCTTTAAATTGCAATGCCATTTTGCTCTTTCTGGTGGCGTTTCCTTTACCAGATTGTAGCCCATGTTAATAAAATTGCCAGAGGCTGGTTTTTAGAGAGAGGGGAGAGAGAGAGAGAAAGAGAGAGACAGAGAATTTTTAATATTTATTTTTTAGTTCTCGGCGGACACAACATCTTTGTTGGTATGTGGTGCTGAGGATCGAACCCAGGCCGCACGCATGCCAGGCGAGTGCACTACCACTTGAGCCACATCCCCAGCCCTATGTGCAATAATTTGGCTTTTACGCGATTAGCCCTAAGAACTCACATAGCCACGTCCCCAGAGTAGATTGATTAGAATCTGTTCTGAGAGAATGAACTGACATTAATCTCTTTGTGCTCTGTCCCCAGCAATTGAACAGATGTGTAAGGCACCTGTGGTGACCAGAGAGTGGGTGTTGGACAGTGTAGCCCTCTACCAATGCCAGGAGCTGGACACCTACCTGATACCACAGATCTCACCCAGCCACTGCTGACTGCAGCCAACCATGCATCTAGAACCACAGGACCTCAAAGATGAGCTTAAAAAATGGCCTTTCCAGCTGGGTGTGGTGGCACATGTCTATAATCTCAGTGGCTCAGGAGGCTGAGGCAGGAGGACTGAGAGTTCAAAGCCAGATTCAGTAAAAGCGCATTCCTATCAACTCAGTGAGACCCAGTCTCTATATAAAATACAAAATAGGGCTGAGAATGTGGCTTAGTGGTTGAGTGCCCCCGAGTTCAATCCCTGGTACCCAAAAAAATAAAATAAAATAAATGGCCTTTCCATCTTAGGCCTGAGGAGCTCCTCTTACTCTTGAGTCTTTCCATAGTTATTAAATATTTATACATATCAGCCTGAAAAGAACTTCTGGCTTTGTGAGGGTCTCTTAAAGATTTTCTACTTCAAATGTCCCTTTGAAATCTGCCATGAGAACAAAATTGTTGCAGCTTTTCACCTGAGAAGAATTTAAAACCATTTAAATTCCACCAATTGAGCTAGATACTGATTCATTTTTATCAGCCCTGTTTCTGGTACTGGACTTGTTGACTTAGGTCTAGAGACATATAGTGGCTTGGCCTCAAGAGAATAGCTGGTTTCCCCAAGTTTGTTTCTCTAAAACCCTGTGTTCATAAAGGCCAAGAGTCAGGCCCTTCAGTGAAAGGATCTGTAATACAACTTACAATCAGAACAGTCCTTGAGCAGCTCTTAAATGTTAGAGTAGAGCATTGGGGAAGAAATTCAGAGGCAGATAATGAATATGAATATGAAATTTGAGAGTGAGTCAAAGGAGATCTCCAAAAGTCTAGAGTATAAATTGCTAGATTTTTAAAGAATATGCTCTGAAACAGAATATTTTCAAGAACTCCCTATATCCAGAGAGAGCTCTCTAATTCCTCATTAGCAAAAAAAAAAAAAAGTTTATTGTTATTGCTCCAGTATATAATCCATTCCTCTTAAAATATAAGATCTTTGATACGAATATTTCATGCCTGTAAAATGATGGATCCCACGGAAAGGAGCTGTTGCTTTCTTTGAGGTAATTTTTTTCCCTTTGCTCCCTATTGCTGAACCATAAAATTTCATAAATAATTTTCCTTGCTGAAGGAAGAGGAAGTATTTTTCATATACTCGTTATGCAAAACTGTTTATAGCTTTTGGAAGGACTAGGTCTTCCCTTGTCCCCCAGTGTGCAAGGGCAATGCAGACTTGATTGTACAAAATATATTTTGTAAATATTGTGCTGTGAACACTGCAAATAAACTCAGTAGCAAACACCAAGAATGTTCTTGGGGCTTATACCTGCAGATTTTCTCTGTGCTTCAACTTCTTGGGGCAGCTAAAGGACCTTTTGTATTTTCTACTGTGGCCACAACAAATTATCACAAATGCAGTAGCTTACAGCAATATCTGTTTGCATGCGTGTGTGTGTGTGTGTGTGTGTGTGTGTGTGTGTGTGTTTGTGTGTGTGTTTTTAAACAGGGTCTCACTGAGTTGCCAAGGCTAACCTTGAACTTGTGATCCTCTTGCCTCAGTCTTCCGAGTAACTGGATTTATGGGCATGTGCCACTGCATCAGCACAACCTCTGTTTATTATTTCTGTAAGTCAGAAGGCTGGAGATGTAGCTTAGTGGCAGAATGCAAGTTTAATACGTATAAGGCTCTTGGTTCAATCCAAAACCAAGGTGTTGGCAGGGCTATGTTTATTTCTAGAGGCTCTAGAGGTCAGTCTGCTCATTCGTGTTATTGGCCAAATTGTTCCTTGTGGCTGCAGAACTGAGATCCTTATTACCTTGCTATTTAGCAAGGGTCATTCCAGCTTCTGGAGGCCACCCATATTCCTAGGCTCCTGACCACTTTCCTCCATCTTCAAAACCAGTCTTGCCTGGGCCAATTTTTCTCATGCTATATTTCTTTGTCTACTTCATGTTTCTAACTCCTGCTGAAGACTGTTCTGTTTTTAAAGGCTCGGATGATTAAGTTGTACCTACTAGGTAAGCCAGGGTGATCTCTCTGTCTTGATGTCCCTTACTTTATTAGCTACAAAGTCCCTTCACAGCATTATCTAGGTGAATATTCGATTAAATAACCAGGAGACAGCAATTGAGAGAGGACAGCTTTAGAATTCTGTCTACCACTTCTATTTAACATGCTTAATCCACAGATAACACTCTGTTCATCATTTCCTGGCCCTTACACTATTCAGAGATTGGAATCCTCTTTGAGGCAAAGAAAATAGTCATCACACAATTCAGTACTGCTGTATTTGTGGAGGGCGAGGAAAGAAAGAAAATGGAGCTAACTATTTTATCTGTTAGTCCTCATCATAGCCTTGTAAAGTGGATATTTATCACCTCTTGAAAAATGGGGACTGAGGTTCCAGTTCCTTATTTATAAGATGTTGCTCAAAAGTTTACATAGCTAGTAAATGACTGTATGGAGATCTGAAACTGCCTTTCCATCCCATCATTCAGTTTTCCACCTGAATTAGTCATGAACCCAAGCCAAAGGACTTTGGTTAAAGTCTTAAGGGAATTTTGGAAGAGGAGCAGGTTGTATAAGGAATTGGCACTTGCTTCCTTTGGGGGCCATGGTGAGAAACAGTAAAAGCAACCCCATGACAGGCAAGTAGACTTATAGAATTGGGTCATGGCTACCATTTCTACTCCCTTCCAACCTTCCAGCTTCTGACTGTATTTTTCAGTTGTCAGAGCCTTCCAGTTCAGCCTCAACTACATCAGGGCCTCCCCTGGACCAGTGCCAGCTCCCTGTCTTCCTGCCAGGGAGTTGATTGTTCTTGGGGTTAGTGGTAAAAGCAGGTGAGAAGCAAGCAGAAGTGCAATTGGTCTAGTCTTCTGTCTCAGTGTCTCATTTCCAGGGACCAATCATGACTCACTGGGCCTTGGAGATGAATTTGGCCTCAGTCTTCTGCCCCCCATCACCTGACGGGTTAATAGAAAAAGCAATATCCATCTTGTAGTACATTACTGCCTTTCCAGGAATCCTAGATGAAAGCAGATTTTTTTTTAAGTCTTTTATAATTATCTCTCAAGGTTTTCTAACAACTGTATACCCCATCTGATTCATGCTCTGCAAAACCTTTCCCAGAATTCAACTTCTGGCCTTGTCCTCAGAGTGCCTGGCCCAGTTTGAGTCCTATCTGATGCTGGGATAAATCTTCTTGTTCCCTTGACTTCTGACTTTAAGATGTCCTTCCACGTTTCCACCCCAAAATCTCTATCCCTCTCTGGGCACAGCAGCACTTGGGAAATAGTTCCTACACTGCCTTTTATCTCATTTCACAAAATGAACTGCAAAGAAGCTGGAAGGAAAAGAGGAGGAGGATTATAGTGAGGGCACAGAGGGCGGGGGCTAGAGAAGAGCTCCAGCAGATTATCTCCTTGCTAAAAAATGCAACCAGCATCATCAACAAAGTATCGGCTCAAAAACATGCAAGAAAGGAAAAAAAAAAATCAGTGTTTGGGTGGTCTGAGTGGAAGGAGCCAAGCTGCCCAGAATGTATCCTGCAAAGGCTGTCAGGAACCGATAAGGACAGCCCCAGATGCAGATGGCACGGAGAAGAGCAGGGTGAGGGAGAACTACAGATCTGCTGAAAGAAGCCTGAGAGAATAGGGCCTGCTACCCAGGGAATGTGGGGGCTCACTTATAAATAGCTGCAAAATGGCTGAGCTGAGGACCTCCTCACCATATTTCAATGAGGCCTCACTCCCACTAACAGCCTGTAAATCTGCCTGTAACAAGTAGAAAATTAAAGAAATGAATCTGGGCAAATAGAAAATTAAGGAGAGCTGGTACAGCCAGCTCCTGCAGAGAGCAGGGGTTGGAGGAGTATAGAAGGCTCTTATCCTGTGCATTAGGATGACTGGGAGAATTTAAGCCATTATTTGAAGGGCTGGAAGGAATTAAGATCTGGACATTTCCCCAATATTATGGTACCTGGGAACATGAACTTTGAAAACCTAGTTTCCAGGACCCAAAATGATACGGTAGCTTGAAATGCAGCTGAGTGCAGTGGTTCCCAAAGCATAGCCTCCATTCTCATTTCCATGTGAGCAGTAGCATCACCTAGTAACTTAAGTGTGCAAGTTCCCTGGCCTCACCCAGACCTGCTGAATTAGAAACTGGGGATGGGGCCCAGCAACCTGTGATTCTATAGCAGACTCAAGTCCCAGAACCTTGGGCTGAGTATAAGTCATGCTAGTTGGTATAAAATGTTATCTGTGGCCCCTTAACTTTTGTCTCCAGGAGAGGTTAGTCTTGGGCCTGTTGAGAATAGTCTGTGGGGTGGTAAGTGGTTCTTATCTACAAGGTTACAGCAGCTGGCTTCAGTTAACTCCAAAATGGCTCTTTAAGCAAATACAAAGCAAAGGACAAAAGATTAAATTATATTAGCAACTTAGGAGCAGAAGGGCCAAACTACTTAAAAAAAAAAAAAAAACAGCTAGAGGTTTATGAGGTTTTATTAATATTTAAATTGCAGTGAAACCACAGCTGCAGCCTTTGACTCTAGCATAGAGATATGCAAATGTGGCTTTCAAAAGCAAAGCAATTTTAGACAGCCCTCAAGGTAATAAGAACAAATAAAACAAATGATTTTGTAATTTACCTTTATTGACTGATGTTGCCGAGGCATGAAGATCCCATACCCTGTGAGAGTCAGCAGCAACTGAGCTCTCCAAGGGGAGCAAAGGAAGCCCACCCAGAGGGAGAAATGCCAGCAGACTCAAGACTGGTGACAGAAAAGACCCAAAGAAGACAAAACAGAAGGAGATCAATAAGAGGGAAAGATGACTAACTTAAATTTAAAAGTAGAATGGAAATCCATCCCTGGGGTCTGTGGACCATCTGATCACAGGAGCAACAGCAATAATAGTCATTAATAATTATCATTTATAGGCTGGGATGTAGATCCTGGGTTTGATCCCCAGTACCACATACACACACATACACAAATTGCCACACTCCTACTATGTTTCATGCACTATTCCCCACATTCAAATGAGAAAAATGAAGCTTCAAGAGGTCAAGCAAGGGCTGGGGTTGTGGCTCAGTGGTGGAGCTCTTGCCTAGCGTGTGAGACACTGAGTTCGATCCTCAGCACCACATTAAAAAAAATAAAGATATTGTGTTCATCTACAACTAAAAATACTAAAAAAAAAAAAAAAAAGATCAAGCAACTTGCTTAAGGTCACACAACAAAAGGAAGGGGTAGATTCAAATAAGTATGTGACCTTAAAGTTTGTCTGGCCTTGAATTTGTAATCCTTTTACCTCAGCCTCTGGAATCACTGGGATGACAGGCTTGTGCCTTGGCACCCAGCCCCAAAACAGTGTAAGTAATCAAAATGTCTTCCTCTTCTAAACCCATTCCCATGGATTTTCTCTGATTTTTTTTTTTTTTTACTATCATGAAGCCCCGCCTCTTTAATTAATCAAATCAACACCCACCCACACAGCTTCCCCTAACATCAGTGAGTCAGGCCTTCTCCAGCCTGGACACTCAAGGCAGACAAACTGTTGCTGCCATCACTGAAAAAATAATTATGATGTTCATGGTAATCCCTTGGCAGGTTCAAAGCACTACCAGTCATCTCTCCTTACTATGGTAGAATGCTAACCCTACTTTACAGATGATAAAACTGAGGTCCAGGGCTTTGTCAAAAGGGTCAGTTCATGAGTTGGTGGCAGACTTGGAACTAATCAGCCCAGGAGTCCCTATTCATTAGACCACAGATGGAAATGCCCTCATTATGTTATCTGGACTATGTCTGGGAGAGAAGGAATATGGATTCCAGCCGGGGAGGAGGGGAGGCTGGAGAAGGTCAAAAAGAAAGCTTTTTCTTTGCAATGCTATAGTAGTTGGCACTAGATAATCCAGAAAGGTTTTTAAAGCATTTTACACGATCTAGATGAGGGGAGAAAGAATTCATCCAAAGGTAACAGACACACAGGTAAGCAGATGTTTTGCCATCTTTTCTTGAAAACCACATATGGTAGTGTATATTAGCAGAGGAAACTCAAGTTACAATTTAGAAGGGTCTTCCCAGGTGTTAGGCTGTAAGACTCAGATAAGCTAGCATATGTGCCAAGTAAGTAGAAAATCTTCTTTTGGCAAGCCCTGTCCTTGGAGCCTGGTGAGGGGGGGGGAGGTTCCTGGAGACACAGGGTTTGTGGGGGCTGTCTCAGGGTCCTCCACGGTCCTAAAATGAGAAGGCTGCTGATGGGATCATCCCCAACTCATAGAAGCTCTGAAAGCCATTGAAACCAAGATCTGTGTAGAA